TTTCTATCTCCGCTAATAATTGTGTCTACATAATCTGTTGGATTGAGGCATCTAGCTATTGCACATGCATTAGTAAAATGTTAGAACAATGTTGCAAGCTGGCACAACATTGGTAGCCAATGTTATTATTACATCATTTTGGTTACAAATGCAACTTTGCCAACAACAAAAAACCAACGTTGGCACAATGTGTTTCAAGTTTGTGAAGTGTATTTTTTTACATTGATTCAACGTTGTTTTTTAGTTAGCACAGCGTTGTATTTTAAGCAGACTTAGCGCACGGGTAAATTGATAGGTGGGGGCTTTGGGGCGATTGCTCCCATATTTTTTTATTATAAATTTCTATACTCAACAAAACTTGTTGTTTGAAAGTAAATTAGAAAGGCTGTTTAAAAGTGATAAAAAATTTTAATAAATTTGTTTGATGCAAAAATAAATCGGGCTGTTGGGACTAAGACATACCCCTCTACCCCTCCCCCATTTTCTTTATAGAAGGTCAACAAACATCAACGGATAAATTTACAGAAAAAACTTTAGCAATATTTAAAAAACTAATAATTTCCAAGAGTAAAACTTTAGAAGTAAGCTGACTCAAATATGCATAAAGATGGATAATAAAATAGACAATTTAAAAAATAAAATAATAGATTTGGACTAAAGGAAGAAAAGCTTCCGCGTACTATAGTTCTCAAAATCCTAGATATTCATGAAAAAAAATAAAACTTTATCGTTAGTAAAAAAATACTTAAAGTTAGTGGAGTATTAATTTTCATTAACTTCTGGGGTACAAAAAGGTTCCATCCTCAATCCTGTGTCTATATAATTCTCTTCTGCAATCCTGTGTCTATATTCATATACTTCTTGATAATCTTACTTTAAGCTTTATTTGTTGATAAAGCAGTTATATACTCCAGTTTTGATAAGAAGTCATTACTTTTTGATAGCTTAAAACAAAATCTTTAATATGATCTCTCCTGTGATAGATGAGAGTTTGCAGTGCCTAGTGAATTTTAACTAAAATGATGCTTACTTGTTTACTGATGATAACTTGTTTACTGGTGACAATTATTGCAATACTGGTGATATTTCTATACTGATAAATAGAAAAACTTTTTCTGAGTCCATTACGTCATTACATTACGTCTTCTTAGATTATTATTCTTTAATAACCTCTAAATAATTTGAAGTTTGTGTATAATCCTTATACACAAATTACAAAGTTAGTAATTGTAAAGGTTGGTTCTTTTTATTGTTTTTACTATTTTCTTACTCCTGATTCCATTTTCTACCTATACTTCTCAACAAAAATTCTTTAAAAACTTCTTTTTTCTCAACATTGCATATCAACTTTAGTATTTAATATTATCAATTTACCATTTTCTGGCACTTTATTAAAGATATGTTTAAAGTTTTCGTTTGGTTTTTTAGATAGCACTTTTAATACAAAATTTGTTTTTCCTTTTTTTCCGACAAACAAGCGTATATAATTTAAATGCTGAACTTGTCACGCGGAAAAAGTTACGTTACTAAATATCGATTAAATAGAAAATTTGCATGTTACAGAAATACTGAACATGATGCGCTACAAACGATTAAAAACAAATACAAGAATTATATTAGTTATAGACGCGGTTATTCTTATTTCTTTTTTTCAAAGTTTGAATTATAGTAATACTTAGATTTTAATTTATATGTTTAATTGTAATAATCGTATATTTTTATCGGACAAATATGTATTATAATGGCTATGGTGACCATTTCCTTGCTAATCCTACAATGACTATGGTGACCATTTCTTCTAGGGTCCAGGCTCGGAGTGGGCCGCCTGGGACACCGGGAGATTCCCGGTTTCCATAAAAAAGTCATATTTTTAGTTACGTTAAATTATATTTTCCTTTGATTATTATAATAAACGGTAAACTAAGATGTAACTAAAAAAAAATTGTAACCTCTGTCACTGGCAAAGACACAAAAGCTGTTTTGTTCATTTTGTCTAGCATTTATCAAAGCCTCGGATCAATCAAGGTTCTTTAGTGGATATAACTTTAAAAGTGTATATGTCAAAGAATATCAGAACATAAAAGCAGTGCTCTCCATGCAGCATGTACAGAATCATATATTTTAAAAATCAATTCCAAAGATGTTAAAAGCATTTATACGCGTCGACTTGATGAAGATGTTAAAGAGAATTGTTTAATTTTAGAAAAAATCATAGAAACTCTAAAAGTTTTTGATAAGAGAGTATTTAGCTACAGAAGTGCAGAAGAGTCTAAGTTCACATTGCTTGATGACAGTGCAAAGCATGAGAATTTTTTGGATATTCTTTTGCTTGTTGGCAAATTTGATCAGTTGTTGGAAGCACATATGGAAAAAATGGTTAGAAAAAGCAAATAAACGTGTAATATCGATAGTCAATTGCAACAACTGGAAAAGGAATGTGTGATTTGTAGCGTTTTTTTAAAAAGGTAGACATTTATATAAGTAAATGTTTTGGTAATACAACCGATGGAGCCTCCAATATCAATACAATGGATTTAACACCTGGTTAAATAGAGTCTCCCCGGGTCAGATTCATGTATGGTGTTATGTGCATGTCTTAAGTTTTAAAATGGGTGACGTTACTAAAAAAGCAGGTAAAGTTGTTAACTTATTTTGTGTTTTAAACACTTGTGCAGTATTTTTATTAGAATCATACTTACGCTTTGATGTTTGACATGAATTTAGCAAATTGAAATATATATTTTTAATTGGTGAAACCGGTTGGTAGGCGAAAGATAAAGCTCATCTAAGGTATTTAGAAATTTCTTCATCAAAACCTCCAATCAAGAAACACAAGTTATTGATTATTTGTACATTGACATATCACAAGTATTTCATGATATTTCTACATCAATCAAATTCAATAATGATGTCCGTTACAGAGCAAAAGTTCTTTTAGATTCATTGACAATTTTTGAATTTATTTTGACGGCAAAATTGTTTTTGAAAGTGTTTGAGAACACAACGCTATCATTAAAATATTTGCAAACAACTGGAATGGATATAATACAAAAATATGGATTTGAAGTTCAGACTGGTTTGAAAGAGAAAAGAATTAGATCCAACAAACTACTTGAAAGTGCAAAAAATAAATTTTGCGTCAATGTTCACAACATTTTCATGATTCAAATAATTAGTAGTTTAAAACTGAAATTATCTAAGCATGGTTTATGCTGATTTATTTTGCTTAGATCCAAGAGACTTTACAGAAGTTTTTGAAAAAATGCCTAGTGACGCGTTGCAGCACCTCAGTGGGTTGCTCATAAAATTTGATGCTTGTGTAACAATAGACTAACTTCAAATAGAATTGTTTTACTTTGCAAGGAAATATTTAGAAACATCTCTTGAAGATGAGTATAATTTGCTATTTGACACGGAAGTATCTAACTCTGTCTCGGACTACATCTGAAAATCTAAATCTGTAGAACTTGAAACTGTCTTTAGAATCCCAGCAGTTGAAAACAGCAACAGCCACAGAAATAGATGCAAATGCTGTTACTTTGTACTGCAGAAGTTCAATTTGCATAATCCTACGTATTCAAATTTGTTTCTGGTCTACAAATTTGTGTTGACATTATCCTGGTCACAAGTTGCTTATGAAAGGTCGTTCTCAAAATTAAATATATTTTGAACAGACTAAGAAATTTGATGAGCGACTCAAAGCATTCATGCTAATATCTTGTAATATCTTGTGAAAATGACCTTCTTACAAGAATTAATAACAATTCAATCATTGATGTTTTGGTATCGACTAGTCAAACAATGAAAAAGCTACTATACTAGTCAGTAATGAATAGCAATTGTTTCTGCTATTTAAAGACTTCAACTTACGGCAGTGTTTTATAAATATTTGGTTTTTATCAATATTTAGGTTAAGAAGAAAAAAAAATTTTATACATAAAATAACAAGATGAGGTGGGCCGCCATGACCAAATTTCCCAGGCCGTTTTTTCAAGCCAGTCCGACCCTGCTGTCAACCCTAATAATAACTGGTACTCTGGTGGAAAAAAAGTTGATAAAGGCCATTTTTAGGCCGAACATATTTTATTATCACAACTTAAGTAGTTAAGAGGTGTGTAAAATATTAATAATCAAGCTTTGTAAAACAAAAGATGTTCTTTTTATTCACCAATACTATTTAGTACAGAAAAAGCTTTCTACGCTGATTTTTATAGTTTTTAAAGTATTTAAAGTATAACTTTTTTATAGTTTTTAAAGTGTTTAAAGTATAACTTTATGGTAAAATTTTAATGTATTATTTACTAGAGAGTAAAAATCTTAAATCTAATTTTCAAACATAAGTGATACTCTATTGTGTTGAGCGGTTATCTTATTTTAACTACGTAATTTTCCATCGGATTTCCGTTTTAATTGCTTTTAGTTTTTTTTTTTAACTTAATACTTCTATTGAATGAACCGCGCGTTTTTAAAGGATTAAAAACTAGTTCTTTCATTGAGTACAAAAGCTATTAGAAAACTCCTTAGTTCAAACTAAGTCACCCTTCTCCGTTGAATTAATTTACATGTATTTTTTTTAATTTAATTTTTGAACTTAATGATAAATTTCACTACATCATTATATAAATATGTATGTTCCTGTAATAATAATTTATAAAAAGTACTGTTTTTTACTGCATAAATCAGTTCCCTCACCTATTACTTTTATCTTCGGGGGCGAGAGCCGTTATGTCATAAGATGACGGCGATGTTAAGTGCTATATTATAAATTTTTTGACGGGGGTTGTTGTCATCCTCTTTACCTGGGTAATGGTTAAAATATTTTTTGTTGCTTTAATTGAGGTAAATTTGTAATTTTAATAAAGTATTTATTTGAACAATTTGTTAATAAATTTCGATATTTTTATCAACCATATACCAAAATGCGGAAATGTTGTTTAAAATACGTAAATGTTATGTTTTCGGACCCATTTTATATAAACCCCTGCAAAACCCCCTTTAAGCGTCGTGCTTGTTTTCAAAACAATCGACAGACATCTCACATCAAATCGAGGTCAGAGGAGAGTATCCAAAATGGAAGAAAATGGGGTATATTCAAGGTCCCAAGATAAATTTGTAAACCTTCATGAAAAGTGGGTGACAAAAGGAAATATTTCTTATTTAAATTCGGAGAGGGAAGAGGTAAATGCAAGATATTTCTATCAGTCCCTTTTAGTTTAAAATTAAAGGTAAAATAAGTTTAAGGTATAAGTTTATATTTCATTTACGTTGTCACAAAACTTAAAAATAACTTTTATTATTATTTAATAATTTAAATATAAAGAAAAGTCTATATCAAGAAATATCATCGTATCTAAGCAAATGTGTAAGCTATGTATTGACGGATTATTGACTTATAAACAAGTATTTTTCACATTTCTATTCATTTTATTTTTGTGTGAAATAATAAATCGTTTATATGAGTTTTCTTTACGTTAAAGTAAAAATTTAATGTATTGAATACTTGATGTTTATTTCAAATACTTGAGCATACTAGATTATATAGATTCATAACTATAATTTATATCTAAGATATAAATTACAGTTATGAATCTTTTTATTATTTAAATCAATAAGATAATATCTCAACAAGTTAGGTCAGGAAATAATGACAATTTACACAGTTACATTCTGTTTTGTATACAATATTTATAACACCTAAATAAATGTTATAAATAAAGCACTATGATCAATTTTTATCAGTTTTACCAATTGTATTGAGCTTACAACATTTTTGTCTAATGATAAACTTTTATGATGTTAACTCTACATTGTAACCATTTAAATTCAATAATTTGAATTCAATTTTAAAATCTTTCGTATATCTTTAAATTAAAAAAGCAGAATATATTTTCAAGGAAAAATTAGCTTGCGATCACAGTCATAAAAATAAAAGTGTTTCTAATCTATATTACTGATGTTGTAAATACTATTTATTTAAGCATTTTTGTTTTATAATGGTTTATAAAAGCATAATAAAGAATTGTATCAAGTAATGCCAAGTTATTAACTGTTAATAATAATAACTGTAAATAATAATATCTGGATATGCAGCAGTTGTTGTCTTTTTAAATTTTTAATATATAATAGCATAATATTACATAATATATTTTTTCTCCAGTTATCTCACAAGCTTTTAATAAAAAAACTTTTCAAGTAGCTCTAATCTCAGCATTTTCTTTTACTAAAAAATTTATTTATTATTATTTTTTTTTTAACATCACTTCCAGCAAGGCTGTAAGCAACCACTAAGTAGAGTTGGAAGTTACTGGAAGAAAAAAGATGATGATTGTAGAGCAAAATAACGATTGGCAGACGACTTAAAGGATTGCAAATTATATGAATCAGGAAAGCAAGATAAAGGAAGTGAATTCCAAACAACTGATATTCAAGGAAAAAACATGATAAATAAGAGTTTTTGGAGCACTTAGGAACAGTCACAGAAAAAGTATGAGACTTAATTGAATGGCGAGTAACATGAGAATGAATTTTAGTAGATGGCACGAGAGATGCTAGCTCTTTAGAGCAGTGCCCATTATAGTATTTGTAGAAAAGAGAAAGAGAAGCAACATTATGACAATGTGATAACGGTTGGAAGTTGGCTGCAAGAGCAGGTCCAACTATGTTTACAATGCATTTTTGCATTCACCCCAGATATGGCAACAGTATTCCATACAAGGCCGGATTTGAGATTTATAGAGATAGAGAATAGAATCCGGAGTAAGAAAGTGCCGCGCTTGATAAAGAGATGCAACTTTAGCAGATGCTAATTTTGCAACGGATTTAATATATATGATTTCCAAGAAAGATCGGAAGTAAGAGTTAATCCTAGAAGATGAAGGGTAGATAACTCATTGAGTACAATACGGTTTATAAATATAAGAAGATCTAAATCATTGCAATAATGATTGGCTGAAAAAAATTGAGTTTTATCTGAATTAAAGTTCACCAGGCACTGTGAGTTTCATGCTGTAGCAGAAGTGAGATTCTTTTCAGGCTCAAATGCCCCCTTCAAGCAATCAGAGAGTGTTGGCTTCTTATCATGACAAGAGTAAGTGATATTATCATCAGCGAACAATGCCACCTTAGATGTGAGAATATCTGGAAAATCATTAATGTAAAATAAAAAGAGTATAGGGCCAAGGATTGAACCTTGAGGGAGCCTTTAAGTTACAGAATAAGAAGAAGAGTGCTGTTTATCGAGTACAACTTTTATACTACGATTGGAAAGGAAGGATTCAATAATCTTAAAGATGTTACTAGATACACGGTAAAAAGAAAGCTTATGAAGAAGACCAGCATGCCAAACTTTATCAAAAGCTTTAGAAATGTCAAGAGCAGTGGCCTTAACCTCTCCACCTTTATCTAATGCACAATAAAACCTATCGGTTATTACTGTTAACATATCAGCTGTAGAACGAGAAGATCGAAATCCATATTTATGATCAAAGTGTTATTAGATTCAAAATGAGAGATTGTGTTTGTTAATTAAAAATTCAAAAACCTTGAAGACTAATGGACGGTAGTTAGATGAGTCAGATTGCTCTCCAAAATTTTTGAAAATAGGGATAACAGATGCTGCTTTCAAGCATGCCGGAAAACAATACTCAGATAAGCACTTGTAAAATAGTTTTGAAAGTAAATATGACAGCTCCGGAGAACACTTCTGCAAGACTACAACAGGTATGTTGTCTGGACTACAAGCTATAGAAGAGTCTAAGCAGGAAATCACTTTTGATACAGAAGCTGTAGTGATACAAATGTCAAGCAATGGATCAAACTGTTTGAAGGCTATATCAGGTAGAATGCAACTAGTGGAATCAAGAGATGATATTGATGAAAATTTCTTAGCAAACAATTCAGTTTTGTCTTTAGGTGAAGTGACAAAGTCTGAACCATACGAGAGAGGTGGAATTACAGATATGTTCTTATTATTTATACTATTTCTACAGTATAAATAATAAGAACATATCTGTAATAGATATGTTCTTATTTATACTGTAGAAGTTATTATTCTGTATACAGTTTCTACAGAAGTCACTTTAATAATAGTATACAGATTTTATAGTATAAATATTTTCCTAGCTTCTTTATAAATAAGCTGACGATCTAAAATTTTATGTTAGTCAATCTATAGAAGTTGTGAAATAATAATCATAAAAATGTTTTAACATAAACATGTTTGTTAATAATATTGTTTATATATTTTTATATTAGTTTATATAATCTTAATAAGCATACTTTTTAAATTTCAAAATGTTCTTATGTCTGTCGTAGATAATTTTTTCCGGAAATTCCTGGAATTCCGGAAATTCACTTAAAACACCTTTAATTTTTCCAGAAATTTCCGGATGTTTTTTGATATTAATTTGAAAATATATTTTTACATAAAATTTTACATACGACAAATTTTGCATTTAAACAAATATGTTTTCTATAATTAAAATTTTCACCAGATCAATTTTCGAAACAATTTTTTTTTTTTTGCTTTTTAACTCATTCAAAAAATTTTTGCGAATATTAGAAATTCCTTTTTGTAAAAAGTGAAATAATCTAAATTCCGTTTGTCAGTTAAATGCGATTCGGGGATTTTGTGGGATTATCATATAAAAAAAATCTCTCCGCGATTTTTATAAAGTGAAATACTCATCTATGGTAATAGACATTACCATAGATGAGTATTAAAGCAGGTAATTTGTATCCATAATTTTTTATTTATGTATGATTTTATTTTTTTCATAGTAAATACACAACTTTAATTAAAAATGTATATATATATATTTTTGATAATAATATTAATATAATATATTAATATTATCATCAAAAATATATATATATATATATATATTTTTCAATTAAAGTTGTGTACTTTTATTAAATACATACTTTTTTTGATCAAGTAATTTTTAATTACAGTATACTGATGGTAATGGTTTATCGACAGATTATGATTTATCTTTACAAATTGAAAACATAAAGCTCAAGTCTAAACTAGAGCAGGTAATTTGTATTCATAATGTTTTTATTTATGTATGATACATTTTATTTTTTTTAAATTTTTTTTTGTTATAAATATTTAAAAAAACCACAAAAGCGCAAATTAATATACTGAAATATTTTTAAAAACATTCAGAAATTTTTCATTTTTTTACTGCTTGCATACATCGACTGACACCATGACACAGATCACCAATTCATAAATTAATATACTTAAATAAAGTTTAATTGCTACATTTTTAAAAATATTATTGTCTATAGTTATGCTCTTATAAAGCAATTTTATAATCAAATTGTCATTACCCCTTTTGTAACAAAAAGCAAAATAACCAGATAAATTTTTTGCCAACTTGACATCGGCTAAGTACGGTACTCTTGTGCCGACCTGAAATCCTTCCAATTTTGCAGGCTCATTTTAGCAGCACTCCTCACATGTTCTACCTATGTAAAATATGGTCTAAAAAGTTATTCTTTTTTATGACTGATGTTCCGCGAGCAAACATATATTTCCTAATATGGCTATATATTATGTATTTCCTAATAGTTCTAAATATTATTTCCATAATGAAGTCAACCTAAAACCTTAACATTGAATTTCTCATAGGTATTTTTATGTTATGGTCTTCCATTATATATATATATATATATATATATATATATATATATATATATATATATATATATATATATATATATATATATATATATATATATATATATATATATATATATATATATATATATATATATATATATATATATATATATATATATATATATATATATATATATATATATATATATATATATATATATACATATATGTATATGTATATGTATATATATATATATGTATATGTATATATAAACAATTTAAAATGCATTCCACAAAAAGAGTGCTCAATGTTCTTAAAAGAACAGAACAATTACAAATTAGTAGTAAATCACTTTGCAAAATTTTTTTCATTAAACACTGTGTTTCATCAATAAAGACTCATCAGAAATGAAAGATCAAATTAGTAAAACTTCAATTTATACCAAAAATTAAATTACAAGAAGTTGCATGTCTTAACTACTTTAATTTTTCACATATTTGTGTAATTTGCTGACACTGTTTTAAAAAGAATTTTTTAGAATTTTTTTTGTAGACATAGTATGCATTTTTGGGAAATATTGTTATATGCAAGCGCTGTTTTAAGGATGGACCAATTCAATATAAAATCATCAATATTTTTATCTTTTAATTCCCATAAATATTTTGACAGCTTGGTGTCTTTTGAATACTTTTTGTTTTTAAAAGATTGCTTATGATTGACAAAACATTTTTTCCAATCACCCTCTGTTATATATATATATATATATATATATATATATATATATATATATATATATATATATATATATATATATATATATATATATATATATATATATATATATATATGTATATATATATATGTATATATATATATATATATATATATATATATATATATATATATATATATATATATATATATATATATATATATATATATATGTATATATATATATGTATATATATATATATATATATATATATATATATATATATATATATATATATATATATATAATATATATATATGTATATATCCGTAACTATCCTTTGGTTACTATCCGAATGTTAGTTTTAAAAAAGTGAATGTCGTTGCGAAACTTTAATTTAAAAACTTGCTGTGAAATTTTATAACAATGGAATGCATAAAAAAATTTGGTTTACGAAAAAAATAACGATTTTAAAATATCCACTCAGAGTAAACTGTTTTTGATAATAAATGAACAAGATTAAAAAACTTCAGTCTTAATAACTATCATGCAGATTTAATTTTTGATTGAATGAACTTTTGATCTTCAGCTTGCTATTTTAGTTTATGTGGTGAAAACAACAAAACGAAATGTAAACTTTTTCAAATAAAAGTTTTATTAAGATCTGTTCAAAATAACCCATAGTAAATGTGACTTATTAAATGTAATTTTTTTATTTATACTTAATGATTAAAAAAGTATAATATATATTTTTTTACATTTAAGTTTTTTAAAATATATGTTTTTTAATCAAAAAAATATAACATTTTTTAAATTGTGTTTACCATAATTATCTCTTCTTTAAATATCTTTAATTTAAAAAGGTGCCTTAAAAATCACTTAAAAATGTATTAAGCTTTGTAAAAGTTAAATGAACAGGTTTGCTAATATTTAAATCTAAATTTTAAAATTAAAATAATTTTAAATACGTTTTATTAAATGTTTATATTTTTTATTTGAATAGTTATTCGAATACAAGGCGTAAAACTTTTTTGTTAACTTTACAAATATTGCGCGATTTAATATATGTAAATATATTATGTAATGCAAATATTGATTAAACTCAATGTTTATGTGTTACGGTCATCAAGCACGATTATTTTCCTAATCGCAATTACTGTCACCGCGTGTGTGTATATATATATGTATATGTATGTGTGTGTGTGTGTGTATATATATATATATATATATATATATATATATATATATATATATATATATATATATATATATAAGAGCTATTCTTATAAACTAGCGGCTTTCGACTTGTTTTTATGATGTATGTTTTTCCTTGTTATTTTGTTATGGTCTCAAAATTACATTTAATTCGGACCGTAGAGAAAACTTTACTTTTCGGAAATTTCGATTTAGATATGGTCTCAAAATTACTTTTAATTCGGACCGTAGAGGATATATTACTTTTTGGAAATTTTGATTTAGATATGGTCTCAAAGTTTCTTTTACTTCGGACCGTAGAGAAAACTTCACTTTTTAATAATTTTCCCGCTTTGTATTTCGTTTTTACATCATGACTTATATCGTTGTTATATTATCCACGGCTAGTTTTTTAACCACTCATTTGGCTTAAAATAATCTGGTTTTATTGCAATATTTAGTTAGTCTTGTTGCAGTGTTTGTTGATATATTATTTATCTCCTGATTTTCATATTATTACTCTTTATTGCATTTATTGCTCAGCTTTATTTTAATTTTCACATGCACATTTTTCATCTTTATTATTATTCAGAGAATATTTTTATATCCTTCATTAAATGTTTACATATATGCCGCTTACATTTTTAAGGTTTTTGTGCAACGTTCTTTTTTGCTATCATATATTATTCAATTATTGTTATGATTTTGGGTTTCGTGGGCTGCTCATTTTCCTACGCTTTTGATTGGTTGTCATATTTCGAATGAGGTATCTATGACAGCGTTAGATTTTATTTAAAGCTATTGTTGTTTTGTTGATTAAAAAATTTTCTAATGAGGTATACTGCTTTCTGATAATAATACCTATTTGGTTTTATTTCTTAAAATAAATTTAGGAAATTTTTTTTATGTTTCTGTTAGAATTTTAATTTATTTTGTTTTCATGTTTTCTTTTGGTGGTATGGTAAGTTTTTTATTTATTTATTTTTATTTTTGTTTGTTCAGTAAATCTACACTTTTTATATCATATCATCAAAAAATATTGGTGCTTTACAAATTTGGGGTTGGTTGGGTTTTGGCTATTTGTAGTGAGTCCTTTTTTACTGCAGTATGGAATAGGCGTAAGTTGCGGAGTAAAGCATAAGTGGCGATGACGTTTGTCTGACGGGATAAACTAGTTATAAATGCTGATCCTCATCGAAACGCCAGTAATAATAGACGCAACTCTGAGGAGATGTTTATTACTTAATCACTACACAAATTATGTTTACACATTAGCATTAATGTTTTTTTTCCATTATTAAATGCCTTTCATTGTTGTTATCAGATTTTTTATTTTGTGATCCGTTTTTTGTTTTATAAGTTTTTGTCTGGTGATATATATCTTCGTTCATATTGGTGTTCATAATACAATTATTTTATTATTATTATTTTTTTAAATTTATTTTTATTGTTATTATTGTTGTGTGTGTATAGCCTGTCTTATTTATTTTTAAATATTCCTCTAATTATTCTTTATTTTTGTCTTGACAACTGTCAAAATGTGCTTTGTCTAATAAATAATTCTCCTTTATTCAAATGTACTTCATTTCTTCCCTCAGGCGTTCACTGCTCGTGTGTGACCATTCGGCGAATTTTATATGCCAATGTTTTTAAATAAAAAATTTTTATTTTGCAAAAAAACTTTTGTTAAAATTTGTAATAATTATTTTTTGTAAAAATTCTCTTTTTTGTAAATTTTCTCTTTCTTTGTAAATTTCTCTTTGTAAAAATCTCTCTTTGTAAACAAGTGCCTCTGGTAGCACAGTGCTCAACTTGTGTCTCCGTGTAGCGTGACCGAGTCTTGCATTTTGGAGTTAAAAAGTTAAAAGAATGTTGAAACAAATAAAAATGAGTAGTCTTTTTAATTGTAGTAGCCTGCTACAGCAAAAAAAAAAAATATTTTTATGTAAACCAATTTATTGGTGATTATAAAACAATTTTTATTTTTGTGATTATAAAACAATGGCAATTATAAAATAAATTTATATTGTATTAAATAGAACTTGTTAATAATATTGTTTTTAATATTGTTAACAGAAAGATTAATTTTTCACAACTTCATTTTATGACATAAATTATTTGAGTATACAATGCTTCTTAGACTCAAAGCAACAACAACAACAAGATATTTATTTTCCTTTTCAAAATTTACATATAATAATAATAATAATAATAATAATAATAATAATAATAATAATAATAATAATAATAATAATAATAACAATAATAATAATGATAATAATAATAATAATAATAATATTATCTATAATAATACAAACAATATAGTTATAATAAAATGTAACTAATAAGAATAAATATAAATATTTATTTAAAAAGAAAGGTGTCACTCAAACAGAAGCCTGATCAAAGGAGTGACACCAAATAATTATAACAATAGTAATTAAAAAATAATAATAATATTATCTATAATGATACAAACAATATAATTATGATAAAATATAACTAATAAGAATAAATATAAATAATTATTTGAAAAGGAAGGTGTCACTCAAACAGAAGCCTGATCAAAGGAGTGACACCAAATAACTATAACAATAATAATTAAAAATAATAATATTATCTATAATAATACAAATAACATTATAACATCATTATCACTTCATTATAACATTCATTATAACATCAGTATACTTATCATTATAACATCAGTATACTTATCATTATAACATCAGTATTATAACATCAGTATAACATTCATTATAACATCATTATAACAATCATTATAACATCAGTATCACTTATGATCAAAATGAGTGACACCAATTAATTATAACAATTGGTATAATAATAAAATAATAATAAAAATAACAAATATGAACCGAAAATTGCTAAGAAAATACATAAAATAATAATAACAACGATAAAGCTTAATAAAATTAAAAAAAAGGTGTAGAAAATTTGGTAAAATAGAGAAACAGAAAACAACAATAAAAATAAATAGCACAAATAATACGCAAACTTTACGCAAATGAAAAGAGAAACACAAAAACTCCAAAACGAAATGCTTACACAAAATGATAATATTTAACAAATATAATATTTAATAAAAATAATTAATAGTAATACTATAATATTAATTAATAACTAATATAATAATAAAAAATAATAATATAACAAATAATACATTTTTGTCACACAAAAAAAAGGTGTAGAAAAATTGTTTGCGATTTTTTACGTTTTAATTAGTTCTTTTAATTATTATTTCAAACATTTTTCGAACTTTTTTCTTTTAAATTGGTACTTTGCTGTTAATTAATTTTTTTTGTTTTGTTTTCGTTTGATTAAATCTGTTTGTTCTTTTTTTTTCTTTTATTCATTTTCTTGTTTTATTTTTTCTTCAATCTTTTAGTTCGTTTATACCTTTCAATTATTTTCTTTTTTTTTACATTATTTCTAACTAATCTTTTTTATTATTTAAAAGTTTCCTTCACTTTTCCTTTACTCTTTTTTTCCTTTTCACCGTTAGTTAAATGATTCCGCCATTTTCGATGTCATTGCATTCCAACCTGTTAAGAAGTTTACTTTACAACCTGTTAAGAAGTTTATTTTACAAATTATTTGAGTATACAATTCTTCTTAGACGCAAAAACAACCAGTTATGAAGTTTAAAATTATTTTTACTGCAGCACTGTAAATAACACTTAAAAGTTTTTGTTATAAAATTTTATTTTTTTAACTTACAAAGAGAAAAAATAGAAATAATAAAATTTAATGCCTATATTCTTTTATATAAGAATTTTTTGTATTATATAAAATTATGTTATTTTATTTCAATATATATTTATTTGTGCCAAAAATTAATATTTAGGTTATCATTTAGGTTAAAAGTTAAAACTTTTTTTTTTCAAAATAAAATTTAAAACTAAAATAGACTTCAATAATGCAATTAATAAAACAGTTATAAATATTAATAACAAGATTTACGTGGTATTTATATGTTATTGTTTTAAAGGCTAATGCTAACATCATGAGGTTACTAAAAGAAAAAGATGATTTACAAGAAGAGCTTCATTCTACCAAAACAACTTATCATCATTTGGTAAATCTTTCTAAACATTTATTTCTCTATATATTTATATATATATATATATATCTATATTAGTAATGTATCAATTAATCAGCTTAATTGGCCACTTTTTGCACAATCGGAATCAGTATCGGCAGCAGCCTTTTTTTAGTAATTTACCAATTTTCCAACCGATGGCGTTAGAATATTTTTATCCTCCATTATGATAGTAATTAAATAATAAATTAACTAAACTGTAGGCATAAGAATTTTTTTGAGAAGTTATTTTTATTGATTTTTTTTAAAGGCAAATTTGTTTATTCTTAAGATGATGTTTATAAGCTTTAATTTAACAGCTGAATGTACTTTACCATGTTGTTTTTAAAATAATTTTGTTTTGAGTTGTTTTATTTCATCATGCGCTCCATCTTCTGTTGAAAGTAAACAATAGTTCAGTTGTGGAGGACAAATTTATTCTCCTCAACAAAATAGGTTGGCTCTGGAAACAGGAGAAATGCATATATTTTTGCATTACAATATTCGCTTACACGATTTTAAATGCTAAACATTGTTACAACTGCTATTGGTGCTTTTTTTAAATCTTAAAGTTTTTATTTTCTTGGTGTTTCTATTATTTTATTTTGAGAAAATGTATATATTTCATGTTATAAAGTTTTTATTTATTTGTTTTTTTAAAGAGTTTAAAATTCTGAGTAAACTGCTTATCTTAATACCATTTTCTTTTTAAAGTTGAAATAAAAAGCATTTCTCTAAAATTGCATTTATATTTTGAAAGTTTTCTTTTCATAGTTAAAAAAAATAAAAAGTTTATATTACTTTAATTGAGCTTTACAAATATCTTTTAAAATAAAGGTTTGGCTCTAATTTGGCTCCAAGTATTTGTTTACCATTCTATAAAAAAGTTAACACGATTTAAAATTATATGGTTTTATATTTTCAAAAATTTTAATAATTATTACATTGGTATTGGCCTTTTCCTATCCATCAACATTGGCTACAAATATGCAATTGGTACATCACTAATCTATATGTGTGTGTGTGTGTGTGTGTGTGGTGTGTGTGTGTGTGTGTGTGTGTGTGTGTATATATATATTATTTAATTCATAAGTAGATGTATATAATAAATAATATATATAATATATATATATAATTCATAAATTTAATTCATAAATAAGTTATTAGGTTCTAAATTAATAATAAATAAATAAATAATAGATTTACCCACAGCTATTGTATTTTGCCAGAATAATGGATAATTTGGCAAAACAATTGTTCAGCTGGGCAACAAATTAATATATTAGTAAAATTCTCAATACTCATGAGTTTTCTGGTGGAATAGTTCACCATTCACCATTAAATAAGATTTTAGTTTTTTCTTATAAATAATAATGGGCCTAATACACTACCTTATTACTGGTCATTATTACCAGATGTTCTGAAAACATATTAAAAATTAACTAGAAGGTTGCCTTGGTGTTAAGGGTGGTAAACCAATAACTTATAAGATGCGAAATGTGTATAATTGTTGAGTATTAATTTCACTACCAAAGATGTCTACACTAACACTCTTGCCCAATTATGATATAGAAGTCTTGATACCTTGTCAAATTATAGCAGAAACCTTTACTGCTTAATAAAAACTTCAAAATGGCTAATTATATTCCAAAGACCATAGTACTTTCCAATTCTTGTCCTGGAACATCAAATTGTTCACTTGAAAATCTTTTTTAAAGTTTCACTTAAAAATTGGTAAAAGTGTCATACTAAGCTGATAAGAACTTCATATTGTCATAATAGCAGCATCATATTGTTGTTTATTCGAAAGCGTTATAACATATTGTTTTCTGTCAGATAATATCTCTTTTGTGTAGTACGTAATAATAAATGTTTCTGATAAAATATGTGATACATGTATTACAAATATATGCATTAACTTTTGTTATTTGAATTCTGTATTTATGACAAATGCATGGTTATAAATTTTTTTTTTTAAGCCTATAGTTTCATAGTTGTGTGGTTTGTGCAAATTTTTTTATTTAAATATGACATGAAAGAGTTAAAGTAATTTTTAACTATGGTATGCCCATCCTGGATTTAACCTGCAGATCATAATTGAGTATTTTCATTGTGATACTACCACTGGGGGTGGGAGGTGGGGATTACCATCTAAGATTAGCAAGCTCCTACGATTGCAATTAATTTTTATATCAGAGTTTTCTTTTTAAGTTTTTTTGTAAGTTGCCTTAATCATGTTTAAAAAACTTACCCTAATATAGAATCAGTTTAACCTTATGTGGAACCTGGAAAAAATTATGCTTTAAAAACTTTTTTCAATGAAAGTTTAAATAAACTGTAAACTGTTGGAATAAAGTCACTTATTGAAGTGACTTAAATAAATTTTTTATTACTTCAATAAGTGACTTAAGTCACCTATTGAAGTAATAAAACATTATATGTGAGCATGGAAGTATAAAACAGATGGAAGTTCATCGAGCCACAAACATCAAAGCAATTTCAAGTCCTCTCGCGAGTATGCTTGTAACCGACCATTAAAAAAAAACAAGTTTCACTGGATAGAAAAAAAACAAAATTCACTGATATGGTCTTTATTAAAACATTAAAAAATGAATTATTCTAGGGATATGTTGCAAGTTTTTAACCATTAGTAATTGCAATTATTCAACAAAAGGTTTATTAAAACTTGGTAATTTAATAGAACCACTTGATTTTAAAAGCATATATTAGTTTAAGCTTCTTTTCTTGCTTCAAGTCATAACACGACATTTGATAAAAAAGACAACTAAAACAATTTTTAAAAAATCAAAAAAGTTGTTTTCTAAGTAACTAAAGTTTAAAGTTTTATTAGCTGTATATGATAACTCCATTCATTCTTGTAGTACTCCATTCATTTAATATAAAGTTTATAAAAAAGTTGTTGTTTGCGGTTACGTTGCGGCATTTTTAATGTTTTTCTTGAATATTATTGGCAAACCTTCAAAATACTATATTTTTAAATTATTATAAACATATCTATTTGCGTCAACATATAAAGATTAAGCATTTAAGTACAGTCTTGATGCCGTTTTCTTATTGTTTTTGAAACAAAAGGTTACAAGCATTGTCCCGAAGAATTTTAATTCGGTTGAACTTCCATCTGTTTTATACTTCCATGATGTGAGTGATAGAAAAACTGCCCAAAAATGATTTCTTACCCTAAGTTTATTATTCTATTGTAGAATATAAATATTGGTAGTTAACATTTATATCAAACCATAGTATTTTTTTACTTAGTTGTTATGTTTAATTTTTTATTGTATTTAATATTTAATGTCTGTTATTAATAGTATAATTTAATTTATCATATTGAATTTTTACTGTAAATATTGCTTTAGGATATAAAAGGAGTTGTCCAAAAATTAGAGCAAGAAATATATGTCTTGGAAGAGCAACTCGATCGTCAAAGAAAACATTATAATCAAGTATAGAAGTATATTTTTGACGCTCCATGACAAAATTACTATTAATGCCTAAAATAATTGCAATTATTTTATTTAAACAATTTCGGAAACTAATTAAATTTAATCATTTTTAAAAAAACAAAAGACAACTTAAGATATATATACATATAAATATATATATATATATATATATATATATATATATATATATATATATATATATAAATTTTTGCTTTTGTAATTTAAAGTGGTGTTATTTTAATTTTTTTATTGTTTAATGCATTTGTTTTTTACTTTTTCCTATATTTTTGTAAAGATTTACTAAAGATTAGACTTGTTTTTAACTTGTTTTTAACGTTTTATAAACTAAATATTAAATATGATTTTGTCGTGGAGTGTCACATTGTACACATGGCTCTGTGTGCATTTTTAATGCACATGTGTTTACATGAAAACATGTATAGTATTTATTAATTATTTTTTAACTGATTGAGATTTCAACTGATTTATGATTATATTAATATCTTTAAGTATGAATCTTTTTATTAGGCAAAAATAAAAATAGTTACAATTTGTTCTGCATTATATTAGGTCAATAACATAATTTATATATAAATGGCAATAAAAATTTCATAACAGGTAATAGTATTTAAAATTGTATTTTTATTCTTGGTAATCTATTCAGATACATTGCATACATTGCAATGTGTCTGAAAAATCTTTGAACTAACAAAAAAATCTTTGAACTAACAAGTCTTAAGTCTTGGTATGTTGTTCTAAGACTTCTCAGCCTTGGTTAATTATTTTCAGTAGTAACTACTGTGATAAGGTAGTAGTAAAGTAAGGTTACAGGCTAATTTATTACTTGCAGTATTAGTAAGTTCATAAGTTATTTTGATTCTTATTTGTTTAATGCACATTTTAACAAATTTTTACATTTTGTTTGTTATTTTGTTTACCAAGATTTATTAACTTGAACTACAGTAACTAGACCTGAGCTTTTTTAAAGTAATGTGTCTAAATTGCAGGTAAATTAAGTTATTTTAGAAATGATCTTTATTTTATAAACTATTGCTATTATTGTTGATATTATTTGGTCAAGTTTACATCTCATAATTAATAAGGAAACATTTAAAATGTTTCATTATTTATAGGGAGGGGGGGTCCAAAATTCTGTTTTTTTTTTTTAACCAACTATTCTTAATTAACTTTTTAGAAAAGTTCAATAAACAATTCAGTTTTTGGTTTTTTTTGTGGTTGAACTTCTACTTGTATTTTTAACATTTTAAAAATAATAAAAAACTTAAAAACTAGAAATCTTTGCAGCATATTCTTAGCTTGTAAAGTTATGCAATTTTATGTTAAAATTTATGCAATTTAAATTTTGATTAGATAATTATGAATTAAAATGAATGAAAGTTGCGTTTAAACAAAAAGTCTTATCTTGTGTAAAAATTTTGTTTTGACTTTACTATTAATTTTTTAAACTGAATTTAAATACCGATTAAAATAAAAAAATATTGTAACAAGAAGTAACAAGTTAATGAATCATTAACTCGTAAACAAATAAATCAAAGTTAAGAAACTTCTTTAGAAATATTTCTAAAGAAGTTTCAAATTTTAGTTGACAAATTTTATCATGCAAAGTTGTTTTTACTCAGGGTTGTTTTTGTACTTGTCTTCAATAAAGTCAACAATAAATTATCTTTTTGAAATTTCATTAAAAAAGATTGACTGCTCAGTAGTTGTAAAAGTAGTTCATATAAATGCATCAAACTTGTATATTGTATCATTCTTGCAAATTTTTTCCAAATGTGCAAACGTGTTTTGCAAAACTTATTTTTTCAACAGAAAATTAGAAAGTATTATGGATTTGGAAAAAGATACAATAATGGAATATTAATGTATTATGTTTTTAATCAGGTTTTTGCAATTTATAAAACAATTACAAATAACATTGACTTTAAGCGTCACTCATTGCAATTGGCTTCGAAAATACCCTTTAAAAAAATTTCCTCATGATAATATACTTAAATATCTAAACCATTGTAAAATCAGGATTTAAGTAATTTAGAAGTGTTTCAGGAAATGTGTCTCATTGTTAAAAAATGAAAAAATATAAAATACACTTGGAATCAGTGACAAACAACTGAAACAGAACGGGTTGGCAAAAAAAAACTGTAAGCTTTTAAATATTAATAATGAAAAAAAAGTAATTCGAAATCAGCATAAAAAATTAAGAAAAAATGGTTCAACTACATAAAATTCCAAAAAAGTTAATTTTGAACTCCCCCCACCCCTTTCCCCCTCCCACCCTCTAATATATACATTATAAACAGTTACATTACAATTAGACATATTTTCTGTTAATCAGTAAAATAAAAAGATTTGTTTACATTTAACCTCAAAAAAAACTACTAATTTTTAAATATTAGAGATGTTTTCAAGTGCTAAATACCTGTGATTTAAAATTATATTAAAATTGGTAATATTTTTATTTAATTAATCACAATAAGCATCCAATTAATCCAATGACAAATAGATTTTGTCATTGTTGACCCATAATTAAAGAACCAGACACATAAAGGTTTATGAAAGTAAAGTCGTAATTATTTTTAATTAAAAAAATAAAAAAATTTTACAATAAAAATTTTTACAATGATCACAATCGAAGTTATCTGAACATGCTGAGATATCTAACAAGCTTCATGAGTCTATGTCTTTTACACAGTCTACTAGATCTAGTTAGTTATATTAAGGATACAGGCTCATTTTTTTGATAGTGGTCTTCTGGTAGTGGTATCCAGTATTAGAAAAATATCAGAAATGGTTTTTGTTATATTTGCTTTATTATTTATTAACCAACTAGTGAGAGCTTCGCATTTTATCAAGGCTTTCAGCTTGTAGAGTTGCTATTTATTTCTTGAAGTAAATCCTGTTTCATGATGGATCCTTCTATTGTTTTTTTCTCATTAGATAAATATATAGTTATATTTATCTATATGGTTCTATAAGTTAGCTTCTTAGATTAGAGCTCGTTTCTATGTTTTATGGTAGACTTTTGTATCAATTTTTTTTTGCCGACCTCTAAAAGATTGAGGTTAGCAAATTATTACTGACCTCAATTTTCCTAATTTTTAGGGTTGTTTATATATATATATATATATATATATATATATATATATATATATATATATATATATATATATATATATATATATATATATATATATATATATATATATATATATATATATATATATATATATATATATATTGGCATCTAAACTTACCATTTGTTGTAAAAAATGGCTCTTAATGACTCTGTTTTAAAAAAAAATTAAGTACAGTTAATGTCAAAATCATTAAATTTAATTAAGGAAACTAATTAAATTTTTTTGTTTTTTAAATAACCCCAAA